CTCTCTCTCTCTCTCTCTCTCTCTCTCTCTCTCTTTCTCTCTCTCTGCCAAAATCTGAGTAGCTTTCCTCTGCCATTCCCTTCCAACATGATGTTCTGCTTTGTCATAATCCCAAAAGCAATGGAGTCAGCTGACCATGAAATGAAACCTTTAAAGCCGTGAAACCAAAATCAATTTTTCCTCTTTTTAAATTTGTATCAGTCAGTTATTTGTTATAACAAAGGCAGGCTGGCTAATATAATCCCCATGTCTATGACATTAAATCACTACAAACCTATAGACAAGGTAGGACAGTGCTAGGAGCATGGTACCTATGCACAAAGCTGGTACAGAGTACAATTAAGGGAAAGAATTGCAGTCCTTCCAGCAGTAATGCCTGTGTCTTTGTGTACCCACCATACATAGTAATTACCTAGTAGAAAGTGCAAATATGTAAGAACTATAAGAAAAAGCTCTGTTGACTCAAATCCATATAAACATAACTGCCATCAGAACATAAGTCCCACAAATCTGGTTACAGATCCACACTGGTATCCTTGGAGAAATACAACACCTATCTGGGGGACTGAGTCTCTTCAAAATTATGACTTAAAAAAAATCTTTTGTATTAGAGGTAACAAGCTGTGTTTTAGTCATTTGGTAACATGGTATTAAATGAAAGTATCATGTAACTTTACAGGCCCTTCTTAATATGGCTCTGAAAGAATATTAAATATTCTCAACTCTGTACCAACAATAAATTTCACTAAAAGGGGAAAAAGAATAGTGTGGTTAGGAAAAAAAACCTTTTGAAAACTATTTACTTGTGTATGAATGTTACTAATAATTTAGAAATTTGAAGAATTTCATACTATCTCTAATCAAAATGACATGATGCAAGACTTTTTGACTGACAACAGAATAGTAAACACATATGTGTTTTGACCACATATGTACAGGAACATGCTTTGTTTCGATAAAAGTTCACAAATCACAGATTTTCTGGGCAAGTGTATCAAAGGAGAACCGGCGAGGACTATTTATCTTTCAACAGCAACAGGATTTGTATCCAACCATGATATGAAAAATGTCCAAACATTCTTGGCTACAAAATAAAAACAAGATGTAAATTTGGTCCTGATGAAACAGACTGTTATTCAAATAACTGAGATATGATTGAATAACTAAATTTCCAATACACTGCATTTAAGGCAACAAAAATAAGAACACCGGCAAATTTTTCTTTTGCCATACACAGATTAGTTCCAAGAGGTTTGAGACTAATTTACTTCCTTTGAAAATACTGAAAATTCTATCTTCTCTCAGTAAAACAAAATACATTTTAAAAAGGTCATAATTTCAAGATTATAGATTACCTTTCAGGTCTTTTTTGAGTTTTCTGAGATCTTTCTGAAAGTCTTCAAACTTCATCTGGGAGGCCTGGAACAGCTCCTGAGGTTCTGCCAGTGGAAAGACACACTGCTCCTTTCCAGCATCCTAATTAGCAAACACGATTTTAAGACGAATCAGCCTCAGGGTAAATAAACATCATACAACATTCGCAAAGGCAGAAACTCTAACAAAACAACAGCAAAAAACACTTCCAAATCACTCAACAAAGAAGAATAATAGGGCTGGGGAGATGGTTCTGTGGCTGAGTGTTTGCTCTATAAAGCAGGAGGATGTGAGCTCTAATCCCCAGCATCCCCAGCATCCATGTAGGTCATGTCTGCTGTACCTGTGACCCCGTTATCGTCAGGCCGACACAGGCAGATTGGGAGAGCTGGCTAATCAGCCAGCCTGCCTGCCTGTCTAGTTGAAATGGCAAGCTTGCCATTCAATGAGAGACCCTGTCTGAAGAGAAGGTAGAACAGAAGATGCCACAAGTTGTGCTCTGGACTCCCCTATGCATACCTAGATATGTGCACGCACACAGACACACACACAAGAGAAAGAATAACAAAGCAGAACAGTATATAAAAATGGTCTTACCTCATCAAAATTCCGAAGATAATATGAGACAATATAGGACAGAAGGCTTCTGCTGTTGTCCTAGGCAGGATGAGCAAAGCAACAACATTTAAACTTATTAAGTGTACAGTGTTAAGTTAAATAAATTCCACACACACACATACATTTGAGAGAGTATTTAGAGTAGAATGTGAAACTGTATATATTGTGTGGTCTTAGTCAATGTTATCTACAGAGTCTGACGACAGAAGATTTTCTTCCAGTATGCTGATCTAGGGTCCAAGAGGAGGCATAACTGTTCAAGGGGAAAATCTGAACTGTAAATGCTTTCCTGTTTTTACCCTCCTAAATCAGGACTTTAATCCAATATTTATATCTCTTACTTAATGCTTTTATTATGAATTTATTTAATACTTAGGTTTTCAAATAGCATCGTAAATGAAATAAATAAATAAATATGGCTAGGGGCTTGAGAGATGATTCCATAGTTAAGAGCACTAGCTGCTTTTCCAGAGGATCTGGATTTGGTTCACAGCACCCTCATGGCACCTATTAACCATCCTTATCTGCAGTTCCAGGAGATCTGACACCTTATTCTAGCTTCCATGGGCATTGCATGACATGGGTGCACTTACAACATACATGCAGGCAAAACACTCATTTACATAAAACAATAAATAAATAAAAATAGTAAAAAAATATGGCTAGAAATTTCCATATAGATGAATCAGCAAGTGCAAACATAACTCTTGATTTTGATGGAAGCTCATTAGCATTTAGACCAGGAAGATGGAGAAGTGTTTCTTGTAAATGGAAACTTCTTAAATGCCAATGTACTTTACAATCGTTACATATTTCAACTGAGATTGATTAATTAATACTTAGGTAACTATAATGAAGACGACATGTATAGCTCTATAGTTTTAAAAGTGTAAAATTTTATATCTAATAGTCTTCAAAGTTTTCAAAGAATAGCATTTTGCTTCCTATCTGTTACACTTGAATGCTTAATATTATTAAGTTTTTTTTTTTTTTGCCTTGTTTCAAGGCAGAAGCAGATAAGTTTAAGAAAATGTACTATACAACCCAAATTCTCTGAAATTTTTCATCTGTTAAACTGCAACAAGTTTGGCCTAAATGTGTCCCTATATTTTGGTGATAAATTTGTCCAAAGTAGCCTGCGTACGTAATGAACAGCATCCTCACTTGATGCTAAGCTATGAATGTACCGTTATAAACAGTACAGCTTAGTCTTAGCCGACCAGAACAAGTGAACTTTCAACCAATCTGAGGCTGAAAGCTGTCGAATAATGGCCATATAAGGGAAATGCCAGCTTCTGCATGTGTGTTTCTGTTAGGTACAACCTTTCCTCTGGCTATAAACATAACTTGCACTTGTGTCAGGGTGGGGAGGACAGGAGAGGGCATGTAGAACCATCTTTGGTCTGGAATACTACCTGGTTCTAGAACCTTTACTAGATCTAGGCATGAATATTTATCTACTTATAAAAAGAGCAAGACCTCTTAATAAGAAAGCCTGGTGGAAGATTTTCCTTATTAACAAAGATTTGCATATAAAGTGGCTTTACAACTTGAGTTCTTTTCTCTTTCTAAATCAGTCAATCAATGAAGCAGCAGTCTATGAACTAGTTGATAAACCACCTGTTAAAAGTCTGCTGATAGATGTGTCAAGAGAACATTCTGGGTAATCTGAAACTGTCCTGTCACTATTCTATAAATATTACTGAGGAGTAAATGCATCTGTTTTCTAGGGCAAGATCCAATTTAAAAGGTCTTGTATAGATCTTATGGGAGGTCACATGGATTTATTTTAAATATTTTGTTTCTTGACTTGGTCTTTTTATAATGGGTTATTTTGTAACTATTCAAACTAATAAAATATAACTTAATAGAGTATCAATAAGAGATATAAAACAATTTCAAAAAACACAAAGAATCGATGTTGATATGTAATTTAGGTTTAGCAGAATATATTTTAGAAAAAATTTTGTAAATTCAACATTACATTGATCTGTTTATATTCAAATATTATATGCTAATTTACTCCAACAGGCAATTACTGAGAAATACTTAACAACTACCATACATTTAGAAAATAGATTTGTCTTTTAGCAAATATGATTTGCTATATCTATATATTAGAAAGAGGTTTGGTTTTATGCAATGCTTATTATACAAATATAATAGTGTTTGAAATTTATTTATTTATTTATTTATTTATTTACTTTGGTCTTTCTGAGACAGGGTCTCCCTGTAGCCCCAGCTGTCCTGGAAATCTATGTAGATCAGGCTGGCCTTGAAGTCACAGAGATCTATCTGCCTCTGCCTCCCAAGTGCTAGGATTAAAGGCATGTGCCACCATGCCCAGCTTGAAATATGTTTATTTTAATCCTATAAAAATCATAAAAATTATGTTATTGGTATAGAGTGAAAAAGTGAGCCTAAATGCCTGTGATCCTAGCTCTAAGGAATCTGAGGGAGGATTACTATGAGTCTGAGGCCAGCCTGGGCTACTGAGACCAGGTCTCAAAAAACAGGGAAAAATATCAAACTGAACTAAAACAAAAACCAATGCTGCTCAGTTTGGGAAATGCCTGCCTGTGTTTCAGTCATACTCAGTGAATGAATATACACAGATATGGAATTAATCCATGATTCCTGCACTCTCAGAATGACAATCTTACATATTTTCATTACTACAAACAATTATTTTTTTAAGCTCATGACTTAAAAGTATGTTCATAATCTCCTCCATTCTGAAGTTCTGTGCTGTGATCTCTTATCAGGAAAACACGGCTCCTACTTTCTAAGTTTACCATTTCAAATGTCCATCTTGGAGTCTGACCATCCCATCGAACCTTATATTTCTGTTGCCACTCTCACAATCTCCTCAGTTTTAATTTTAAACAAACAAAACTGTGGAAGTAGGTTTAAAAATAACTAGGTCTGCAGTCGGACTCAGACACTGACATGCACAGCAGCATGAGGCAGAGAACGGCATGCAGAAAAGCAGGATCAACTTTTATAACTTCTTTATGAAGTACTGTCGTTCATCTTTGGTTTGTTTTCTCCACTGCCTAACACAGAGAAGAAAAGAACAGGCAGACTATCTAATTCACAGAAAATAATTTATCTCTAGTTTCCAAAATAAATAATCTAGCAGACTCGACACAGAAAAAAATACTTATTTTTATTTAAAAATATTATAATTATTCATTAGGTATAGGACTCATAATTCCAACATGAAAATAATTCCTTAAAACCATAGGTGCCCTGCTAACCTAATTTTACCTAGCTCAGAACATAAAGGAAGCTTTATCCAGATTTGGTGCCTCCTGCCTGTAATCCCAGCACTTGGAGTGGAGGCAGGATGATCCACAGTTCAAGGTCATCCTCAGTTAACACAGAAAGTTTGAGGTCATTTTGGGCTACAGGATATACTGACTCAAGAATCAGTATATATATAAACTTTGACCTTGGAACAGAAAGGAATACTTCCTATACCTGGTTTATAGTCAAACCTATTTCCAAACAAAATATCCTCAACTTGTCTACATACATAAACACAAATACTTACACTGCTTTTCACATCTTTCAGCTTGGGGAGTATGTCTAATCCAAAGCCATCTGCCTGGCCCCGAGTCTTATTTCCAGCATTCATGTAGTTGCCAAAGGCAAGAACCAAGCCCAAGACCTGCATAACACCTGGGCCATTTTTTAACGTCTGTAAGACAGGGTACGAGATAAAGATTTTTCTCTTATACAATATTTTACCTTGAAGCATCCAAAAATCAATGCCAGCTAATCACATTATATCGATCCTTTTGAGGGACAACCAAACTGTGTTCTTCCTCATTATTAAGCATACATTAAAGCATGTCAATGTCAGCTTTAAAATATACCATCAACAAGCATTTGCTCATGACTGGGGAAGTGGAGAATTGCCATTTTGGGCCATATAACGTTAGAACTTCTGCAAAATAATATCAATGCCGTCAACCTAATTGTCCCCATGTTAGGAACAATTCATATTTCTGGATAAGTTGTAAAACACCCAAAACAGTCATAAAGATTAAATTCCCAATCTAGGTCGACCCTCAAGACTTCCTACCCACTTCTTCCAGAATCTTCTTAACTTCAGTTTGCCTGCCACATCCTCTGAAAATGTGTACGATAGATAATACGTTTCCATTTTCCCAGACGATTTTCCATAACCAAAATGAAGTTTGAGTTTTTGACAAATTTCTTTAGGTACCAATATTGGTCCTTCCTAACAAACATTTATTCTTTGCATTGAGAAGAATATGTATCTTCCATTGAGTCAAATGACGATTCCAAAATCATTTAGGTGCAATAAATATTAACAATTCGCTGAGGGACTGTTCCTAATAGACAAAATGAAGAATACGAAATGGTGTGCTTTTTCCAAGTCTTTCCAATCACATCCATTTGGAGAGAGTCATGGAATGTGAGGATTTGGTTTTGGTAAATGTACAAGGAAGCCAGTGCTGAGGAGGCAGGCACACAAGGACCATGCTTTCAAAGCGGTCCAGCAGCTCCCTGAACATGTCTAAACACACACTTGCTTCTTGAAACTTAATTATAAAATGTTCCTTTCTGTGGGATTACTATTCAAATTTAATATGTACTGTGAGTAAACAAAAAAGAATACAACTGAACACAATTAAACATCCGAACTCAAGTTCAGCTCTCTAGAGGAAACCCACCTCACATAGTTTCTGCAGTAACTCCAGTTTGCGACGAATTGAGCAAATGCTCTCTGAAAAGGTTGACTGAAACAGGATGCAAAAGACTCGCTCTGAGAAGTTGGGGATTAATGACAGCTCATACAGGAATCTAGGGAGGTAAAGACAAGGAAAGAGAACAGTGTAAGCCACCTAAACACAGAGGTCTCCTTGCCTCACTTGTGACAATGATGCAGGAAGGCAGCCCACAGCCTGGACGCCCCACAACCCCGAGGCAAGCTTACTGTTCAGGCTTGTCCAGAGACTTGGCATTTTCCTTGTCTTTGGAGGATCGACTGTGCTTTTCAATTTTTTCCAGTTCATCTGACTGTGCTCTCTGGAGAAACAAAATCCAAGTGGTTTTCAGAATCTCTTCAATGGCAGCCTAGCGATAATGATGATCTTAATACTACAAAACTCTTCTATATTTTATATTTCTTCGCATGTGTTTGTGGTAAAACTTGACATAATGCATGAGGCATTTAAAGTGTAAATATGTGTAATAAGAGTCAGATCATTCCAAATCTCCCAAAGAGTGCTATTGACTATTAGTGATATGAAAAATATTTATTCATTCAAGCATGATTTAAAATAATGTTTTCCTTTTTTGTTAAGTTGGCTGTTTCTGATTGCTTTCAAGAAAGCCGTAATTTCATTTTAAAGTGGTAGATCTTATTCAGACATCAATCAAGTTAAATTTGGAAGCAATTTGATCTTAAAAGATTTTATAAATATTTATTGCAATCATCGCGTATTGCATTTTTTTGTATTTGGACAAAAGAAAAGTGTAATTAAGTCATTAAAACATGGAACAAAATAAATTATTTTGATGCTTTTGCTGAACATAACTTTTTGATACAAAAATAGCTTCAGCCATATTTTCCCTTTGTCTCCTTTCACTCCTTACATTGGCAGAACTGGTAAAAGAAAGGAGCCAGGGGCTCCTCCCAAGCCCATGTGACCCCTGAGGAACAGATCCTCAAACGACCTTAAGAGTAAAAATGAATCGGTTTATCTGGGCCAACTGTATGGCCTTAAACACCCAAAAGGAAAGTATAACCAAAGATTAAAGGGGCCAGTATAATTTCTTAAGAGTCCATATGCATAGCTAAAGGCTACATAACAAGCAACAATGCCAGACAGGCGATACCTTCTTTTGAGTTGTTGGCCAGGGTGGCCAAAGGGATTCCCAGATAGTAACCCAGCATAGAACTGGGAAAATGAACAGCAGACCCCAATCTTATTCAAAGGAATATTGACAACCGATTACTGCTAGATGAGAAACAGCTGACCCTCCTAAAACAAAGACCTCTAGATAGGCTGACTAGATTCACCAGAAGGGCAAGTAGCGGGGAGTTGCTGGGGGTGCGACAACACAGCAGACAGTAGCAGGGATATCAGAGTATAAGGGCTC